ATAAGATACAAATCTTTTCCTTGCCTTGCAATTCAGGTTTGGTCAAGTGTTGTACGGATTATACGAACAACTTCCATATTTTCTTCCAAGTAAAGTCTGGTAGAACTAGATTGTATATTCAACCAGCTTACTTCTTCTCTTTCTTTATTCATTCCAACAGGCGGTTCGTCTCTCAAGTGGCGGAGGTACTGGTGGGATTTCAGTCCAATTTCTTCTTCACTTCGGTCTTCCTCTTTGATTGTGTTAAGCTATGATGCTCACCATTTTTTGGTGGGTTCAGTTTTGGCGGCGACAACTTCTTGTCCAATAATTTTATCCAATAGTTGCTAAGATTTCTCGTTTCTAGCGATTGGGCCATTATGTGGGTCGGTTTGTTTATGGATATGTGATGTTTTTTCTTTTTGTTTTATCATTTATTTTTATATATTTCTGTGATAAAAAAAGTTACAAAAGCTTTAATAAAATAAAAACAAATAATAATGGTACACTTACCTCTCAATCGCAGATGCAGTTTCTAGACAACGACATATATATTAGGTATTTTTCCCGCACGTGCGGACATACTAATTTTAAAATAAATATATTATTAGTTCAACTATAATTAAAATAAATTATTGTTCATACATTTATAATATTAAATCAAAATTAAACCATAAATTTTTTATATGTATACAAGTTTGTATCATAGCATAAATATTTTAACCATGTAACATAAACTTAAAAAGAATAGTACTTTTGAAATATTTAGTAATATATTAAATATTAAACTAGTTTCATATGATTTTTTTCATAAAATATTTTTTTATTGTTTAAAATAATTATATACAACATATATATCGAGAGTTAGCTTTTATAATTTAAAACTATTTCTAAAAAAGTAAAATAATTTTGAATAGCACAACCTACACTATTTTATACAATGATAATTATAAAATTTCTGAAATTTGGATTTGACTAATTTTATATTAACAAATATAATTATTCATTAATGTAACAAGGACTTTATAACATAATATATATTATTTTAAGATAACGATAATTAACAAACCAATGAATTTCGTTTTTAATTTATGGCTAATTATATCTTAATTTGATTTAGTTTATGGATAATTAATACAAACTATTTTCAGATATGATAATCATCTAATAAAGAAATTGGTTTCTAATATATGGATAATTATACATTATTTCGTTTTTAGTTTATGATTAATAATATATTAATAAATCTAATTATTTATTAAGTTTATTAATTAATCATTAGTCAACATCCTAAGAACATGATAAATAAGTAAAATTATCTAATATCATGGAAAATATATCAACTAATCAAATTTACTTTGAATAACGCAGTATAAACTATTTGTATATAATGATACTTATCAAATAAATGAAATTTGGTTTTAATTTTGGTTAATTTATATAGTAACAAATAAAATTATTCATTAACGTTAATAAATACTTTCTAACCTAATATAAATTATTTTTAGATAGTGATAATTTTCAAATCAATATTTATTTTTAATTTATGGTAAATTATATGTTACTCTGATTTTAGTTAATAGTTAATTAATACAATTTTTAGATAATGGTAATTATCTAATCAAAAAAATTTGTTTCCTAATTTATGGTTTAATTATATATTAATTTTCTTCTAGTTTATGCTTAATAATATATTAATAGTAAGTTTATTTATTTATTAAATGTAGTAATAAATCTTTACTCAAAATCCTAAAATTATGACAAATAAGTAAAAATTAATTAAAATCATGGAAAATATGAAAACTAAGCAAATTTACTTCATAAATAATAGTATAGATATTCTACTCTAAACATGATTCGAAAACTTAAATTGATGGTACGTATTCAAAAACTATATGTAACGCCCACGGCTAATGGACCACCCACACCCGCTCTCTCGGTTCGTGGGTCCATCCCGTTCCAACGATCGGTCCGTTAATTTTCTAAGGCTCCAGACACATGTTTACTGATTCTGCAGTCACCATATGACTTTTTCCCGTGCTTTGGCCTCATTTACACAGTATTGTAAATCACTTCCCGATAGGTCATCTATCTTTTGACTACTCTAGTTCAAGTACGCTTAACTCTGGAGTTCTCTCTCTGGATGTGATCCCGGAAAGGTAAATGCATTTTGATGACATAGATAGTTAAATCAATCATCTTAAACCATTCTATATATCACAACTCTGGATGTTACACTAGCTAATGAAAATTAAGTGAACCTCATGGAAATTAGCCTGCAGTTTGTTTTTCTTTTTGTTTTTGACACATATTAGATCATAAGATTGGAAAAATAAATGACTTTTTTTATATATAGCTGAAATTCATTACGATGTGAATTTAAAACCGGTCATTATGTTAGTGTAAATAATATTTTCAGCAGCTGGGTATAATCTATTGCGAACATCACATCCGAATATTGTAAAAACTTGATGAACTACATAGACCCATGCCCGGCCCAGAGTATATTAATAATACCTAAAACAAAAATACATTTTGACGTCCCTGTTGTTCAAACCATGTACCATTGAGCCAATTTATTGATACATAACCGAATCGTATTCTTCCTTACCCCAGTCACTTTCATCGCTATTCTATATTGCCCCACCAATAAAAAAAATTATATTTTTATTCATATTTTAATCGAAAACGTGGTAAAAAACGATACTACCCCTAATAAAACTTAATATTTACATACCCAACCTCCTTTTATTTGATCTGACCCGGCTCCGTGGCGTGACCCGTGGGTCTCTCTCCAAACCCTCTCTTTCTCTCAGTGTCTCTCCCCAAACCCTCTCTTTCTCTCAGTGTCTCTCTCCCAAGCCCTCTCTTTCTCCCTGTGTCTCTCTCTCAAATCCCCTTTTCCTAAATTTCTCTGGTTAAGTGTTTCTCATTTTCCCCAAATCGAACAAAATCAGAAACCCTAGAATCGAAATCGACAGAATCCTCTCTTTCTTAAATCGACAGAATCCGTTCGTCGGCGAAATCGAAATCGTCCCTGTGTCTCTTTGTCTCTCTCTCAAACCCTCTCTTTCCTAAATCTTTCTCCCCGTGTCTGTCTTCCAAATCGTCGCTTCCATCACCAAGCTCGGCTTCTTAAGGTTTTTTCTTACCTTTTTCATAATGTCAAATCGTTTTGATGTGGGTTCTTCGTGATATAGGATGTGTGCATGTTTGGCTTAAGGAAATTACTGGATTTTGAAATTTTGAATCTGATTTTTTTTAAGATTATTGTTAACTAAATTGAATGATGTTATCCGGACCATTAACCGAATGAAATTCAATTTAAACTTTCTAGTTATAGGACTATGACGATTTTGTTTGAATGCTTGGTGATTTATTTCAGCATTAATTGAATGTTTGTTGTTTTGGATAATCAGAGTAATGACAGGAAAGACGCGTGGACAGAAGAAGCAGAACAAGAACAACAGGAAGAAGTCAAGAAGAGACGAGGATCATGTAGAAGAGCCTTCAACCAGAAATGATAGTGATGATCTAGCAGACAGAAATGAGTCTCGACAAGAGAATGAGACTGAGCATATGTCTGCGACATCTGAGGTACTCATTCCCAAAAATATTTCATTTGTTGTAGTTTAAAAAGTTAGTATTGTTGGTGTATTACTGGTATGACTAGTACTACTAAAAATTAGTATTGTTGGTGTATTACTGGTATGACTAGTATTACTGATTAACAAAATGCTAATAAAAATTTATATGGTTTTCAGGAATGCCAACCACTGCCACCTGATGAGCTATACTTCCAGAACACCGAGTACACTAAGACAACCAAGATACAGAGCAAGTGTTTGGTGAGTAAGACGGTGGCTCTTATCAAGGACCTTAAGACTGAGTTGGCGTGGTTCGAGAACCATCCTCAGTTTTCTCATATATTCCACATGCCTGACGAACAATTCTTGAAGCTGCTTAGTGTTTGGATGCTTTTGTTGCGAACCATTCCCTTAGAAGAGGGAGAGGAAACAGCTTGGTTTGCGGTTAATGGCGTGCCTATCCGGTATTCCATGAGAGAGCATGCACTCATCTCGGGTTTGGACTGCCATGAATATCCGGGTG